ATCTCATATAATTATGTACAATCAATATTCGAATAAGAATTAGACATCTCCAAATGTTCTAAAAGTTCATAGGTGATATTAAAAATACATTATTCTTTTCTCGAGGCATTTTAGAGACTTTTTCTAGTTTAACGAGTCAGGTTCGTAGTTTTATGATTTAGAAAAAAAAAAAAAAAAAAAAAAAAAAAAAAAAGAAAAAAAAAAGAAAAAAAAGAAAAAAAAATAACCGGAAAGGTCAGGAACGAACAAGTCTAATTTATTTTTATAATCGTCTACAAATTAATGAATCCCTCGTTAACTAGGGACTTTTGCTGACCCATCTTCCTCTATGCAAGGTACACATATGTAAATATATATATATATATTTTTGCTTGATTTCCACAAAAGTAAATATATATATTTAAATATAAACAAATAAATACATACATACATATATACATATAAAAATACAATCGAAAAGAAAATCGAAAGAGCATCGTACTCGAAGCATGTATCCGGAACTCGACGACTACGGTAAGAGATCGTCGACCGTATTTCCAGGAAAAAGGAGAGAGAGAGAGAGAGAGAGAGAGAGAGAGAGAGAGAGAGAGAGAGAGAGAGAGAGAGAGAGAAAGAGAGAGAGAGAGAGAGAGAGGGACACAAAGAATTTCTTCAAAGAGATTCTAACAAAGATTTTCCGACTCTGGTGAAGAAAAGGGCGTGGTTGTTACAGAAGGAAATAGGATCGAAGGTCCGAAAAAATCCTTTCAATTTTGGTCCTACGGTACAAACAACAAAGAGACTGGACCGTAGAGACTTTTAAAAGTAACGGACCAAACCGTCGATATATTTTCTAATAATCTAGATTTTCTAAAAATTCAGTGTATTAGTTTTCCAATTTCTGGTACTTTCAACGAGTATACGATTATGTATTGTGTATCACATTTTTTCTTTCTTTCTTTCTTTCTTTCTTTTTTTTTTCTTTTTTTTTTCTAAATGTCCCGGCCATTTTCGAACGTCGCTATCGATTTAAAACTCGAATTCGCGTTCGCTTTCGAATATTGCGATCGAGTCGAACCTCAAAAACTCGATTTTTCTATCGAACGGATTACACGATATCGGATTGCGTAATTTCTTGCAACACGGTGCAATAAACTTTTCTCTTTTCCTCTTTTATCGCTCTCTCTCTCTCTCTCTCTCTCTTTCTTTCTTCACGTTTTTTCTTGTTATATGTTTTACTTTATCTGATATAAATAAGAAAAAGACAAATATGCATACATATATATATATATATATATATATATAAACGTATATATAAAATAAAAATTCAATGTCTCGTTAGAGAGATAATATTTTATTGTTCGGAATAAAAATTTTATGAAATTATCATTACTAGCAATTAAGTCACGAAGCAAAACCACAAAACCGTTTCTGATCCTCTGATCAATGTTCAGAAAGCGTGAGTTGTACGGAGTCACCTTAAAGAAAGAGATAGAAAGAGAGAAAGAGAGAAAGAGAGAGCGAAAAAGAGAAAGAGAAAGAAATATAATTATATATATATATATATATATATATATATATATATATATATATATATATATATATATATATATATATAAGTTGCTCAGCGAGACCGACACCAAGTTATGTTTAATGTCGTCTCTTGTTTATTAAATTTCGACGATCGCTTAAGGAGAAAGAGAGGAAAAGAAAGAAAGAGAGAAAGAAAAAAAAAAAAATATATATGAAAAAAAAGATAAACGAACGTTCGACAAATTCGGCAACAAATTCGTCCTAACTAATGTTATCGTCTATTTCAAAGTGAGTTTTTAGATACATACATACATACATACATACATATTTACATACATAAATATAAAATAGGAGAGAAGTTTTGAAGATGTAAACGATGTATAAGACGACAATGCACGAGAAAGAGAAAACAATTCGAAGGAATTCAAAGATTTCCTTCGAAATCCCATGATAAATGGAAAAATGAAAAAGAGTTTAAAAGGTCACCTATAATAATAATAATAATAATAATAATAATAATAATAATAATAATAACAATAAACATTTATCTCTTGATCAAATATCACAAAATTAACGCGTAATCGACAATATTGTTTTCATTGTGAAGTCGATAGAACGAAGGGACATTTAAAAAAGCATATTTGTTTTGAGGTTGCATTCAAATTCGACCATGTCGCCTATAGAATACATAAATATATTACAGGTATATATAAAATAAAATTTGTTTGTTTATTTGTCGGATTAATCGAACGACAACGATTGGACGAGAACGGATTTTCTTTCGTAATTTTCTTTTTTCTTTTTTTTTTTTCTTTTTTTTCGATTTTCGATCTTTGATCGTTTCAACTGAAAGTCTTATGACATACGTATGTATATGTGTTAGTTCAGTATATGTGCATGTATCCATATGTGTGTGTGTGTGAGTGTGTGTGTGTGTGTGTATGCTTGTGTGCGTAGAGTAAGACATTTTTTCGCGAATGACAATGAGTCAGTGATTCTCTTCATTCTATAATAAAACTATTGGAAATCACTGCAAAAAAAAAAAAAAACGAAGAGAAAAAGAAAAAATCACAAATAAGAAGTAAAACATGAGTACACAACACAAGAAAAATTTAATCCCTCCAGAAAAAAAAAGAAAAAATGAATAAATAAATAAATAAGAAAGAAATTGAAAAAGTGCAATAAAATCTTTTAAAGGATATCGACGTCATCAATTAATTTTTCTTTCTTCCTTCTTTTTTTTTTCTTTCTTATTATACGCAATAAGATGGAAATTGATTATAATTAGTGACTTCTAATTAAATACATTAGCTGCTCGCATATCCTCGAGGTAAATGCTTTTTCTCGATTGAAAAAATTAAAACGAGAGGCCGAAAGAACTCGAAGATTTATTTATGTACTCTTATCTGACGATATTCTTATTCTCGTTTCTTTAACTTTTTTTTTTTCCTTCGTTCTTTTTTTCTTTTTTATTCTTTCTTTTTTTTTTTTTTTCCTTCGCAAAACCAACTGGTATCAAAGAATTTGTATTGGAATATACGTATCGCTCTTAGTTAAGCAAGAACCAGGACTGTATTTACATGTAAGAACGTGTTAGGGGCAAACTGGGGTTATCGCATTATTATGAAAAAAATTTCGAGTTTTATTTATTTGAAATAAATAACGACACGGAAAAAAAAAAAAAAAGAAAAAAGAAATGTAAAAAAAGAAAAAGAAATAAATAAAAAGACAAACCAGTAATACATATGCTAAAATCATAATTACGAAAGAAAAACATCTTCATATTTCTCTTTCCTTCGAAACGTTTTTTTGTTTTCTCTCTTTACTTCGTTCGAATTTCGATCTATTTATTAAAGGAAAAAAAAAAAAAAAAAAAAAAAAAAAAAAAAAACCATTTTTTTTTCTAGATGCAAATATATGCAACGCATCGCACACAAATGCTAAAAATAATGCAACGTATGCGCGCACAAATATATTGTATTATTTTTATTTGATTAAAATGAATTATCGTGGCAATAGGGACGATTTTTATTTTTAACTAAACATATATAAATTGAATTGAACTGAAATAAACTATGTTCCTTTGCGAGATGTCTGAATGATGTTGTACGCCTGGGGCCTTTAAATGTATAAACGCAGCCCTGACAGAAACGTTTTATAAACGAGAAAGGGAGAGAAAGATATATATATATATATATATCTATATATATATATAGTTTTAATAGTTGGAAGATCGAAGATAACGTCGAGGTTTAATTCTCCCATTAAGAATCGTTTCGATTGGAGATCAAATTGGTAGGTCGCGTATATGTGTGCTTATACGTGTATGTATTTTCGCGTTTGTTACTATTAAACACGATTATATATATGCCACTACTACTACTACTACTATTACTACTACTGTTGCCGCCACTACTATTCCAATCTACGACGATTACAATCAGAGAACTTTAATTCTTCGCGAAGATTGTTACGTTTTAAGATCTACATATTTCTATCTCGTTCGATCGATTTTTTTCTGATTATTATCATTGGCACGAAAAAAAAAGAAGTTGAAAAAAAAAAAAAAAGAAGAAAACAAGAAAGCAACAATACGTCCGTTTTTCAAGCATAATCAAATTTCTAATTGATACGCGCTACAGAACGAATGGCATTTTTTTTCTTTTTTTTTTTTTTAATACAAGACACGATCGAAAACTTTCCGACCAATGTGATCGATCGATCATTGATCGAAATCGATAACGCGAGAAATTTCGTTTGTTCGTCTTTCGATTCGTATACGCATGCACACACGAGTATATATATATATATATATATATATATATATATATATATGTACGTATGTTTGTACATATCTATGTATTTATATAATTATGTATTTATGTATGTATTAAAGTCGAACGAAGTTTCACTTTCCATTAACGGAGAAACTTACAAACAATTTCATAAACCGATTTTGTCCCTCGGCTTCTACCACTACTGTACTTCCTGTCGTCGTCTTCGTCGTCAACAACAACGAGATTCTACTCTTCGATTCCTGACACAATTGTCACATCACGATATAATACACACACACACCCACATACTCTCTCTCTCTCTCTCTCTCTCTCTCTCTCTCTCTCTCTCTCTCTCTCTCTCTCTCTCTCTTACTCCTTCGGTTACCCATAGAAACGATGCTCTCGAACTCTGACGTCAGTGGCCGATATCCGACCAACTTTCCGAACACTTTATTATTTCCATTAATAGATACGGAGCTTTCTAAATTAAAGAAAGATATAATTCTCTTACCTCGTCGTCTTCCCCCACCCAGTCGTTCTCCAAAAAATAAAAAAAGTAAAAAAAAAAAAAAATAAAAACAACCCCAAAGAGATTAGAAAAAAAAAGAAAGGAGAGAAAACAAAAAGAAGAAGAAAAACAAGTAAAAAATCATCTTCGGAGAAGTTAGTAATACTAGTAGGTGGTAGTAATAGTAGTAGTAGGTACAATACCTTCCGGGGTAGGTTGAAACGGCGAGGCGGGATGATCGTTGATAACTATGAGTATACTACCAGTACTGGTAGTGGTGGATGCTGCAACAACCGTGCTAGTCCTACTGTACTGATCAATGGTAGTAGTAGCGGTAGCAGTATTCGTCGTTTGTTGCTGTTGTTGTTGTTGTTGTTGTGCCTGTTGTAATCCACGATGTAAATCGAGATCCCAAAGTTGAAGATCCTCATGATTGGTAGTTCTAACAGGACCGGCTGAGACAACGACGTTGTTGGTACTTTCCGGTGTACCAGGACGAAAATTCGTTGGAGGGGGTGATAATACGCCACTGCTGGATACCTCGGGGCAGGATTCTTGAAGATGATGATGATGATGATGATGGTGGTGATGGTGATGATGATGTGGATGATGATGACCACTGGTACCGGTAGACGACGACGACGACGACGATGACGACGACGTCGACGAGTGTTGTCTACCATTACCACCACCCCATCTTCTTCTAACACCGGCAACCGGAACCCTTGGAACGGTTTGTAACATTTCCGATACTATTCCAGTTTCCTGTTCCTCTTTGATCTTATCCAAAAGTAGGACCTCGTCCTGTAGCCTTCCCTCCAGTGACTCCTCCTCTCCTACGTCGCTAACAGCTACGCCGAGAAGGCTACCGCTGCTACCACCACCACCACCACCACCACCCCCCCCACCACCGCCGCCACCTCCAATCCCAACCCCAACACCCTCCTCCTCCTCCTCCAACCCCTTACGTGTCCTCGGCTCCACCGTATCAATTTTTGTTGAACTTCAAAGCCTGAGAAAAGTTCCGGCCGTCCCCTGACACAATAGGACGGCCTTGAAAATCGTAACTATTCTTTCGTCACCGCCCGATGATGAGGAGCCTCCTCCCTTCCTCCTCTTTCTCTTCTTCTTCCTCTTCCTCCTTCTTCTTTGCCTTATTTCCTTTCTTTTACCACCTTCACTCACTGGCCCCCCCTCTTCCACCACAATCACCTTTCCCTCTTCCTCCTCCTCCTCTTCTTCTTCTTCTTCTTCTCCTCCCTCTTCTTCCTCCTCCACCTCTTCTATCTTCCCCCTTTCTATATTATTATCGTATATTATATATATCTCTCTCGCTTTCTTCCTCGATAAAGTAGCAATTCGTTGTCAGGAATCGCGATCGACTATCCGACTTGAAATTCTTCTCATTTTCCTTCCTTTTTTTGTTTTTTACTTTTTGTTCGTTTGTTTCCTGTTTTCTCCTTTTTTTTTTTTTTATTTTTATTTATCCAAAAATTTTCCCCTTTCCGATTATTTCTTCTTATTCTCTCTTTTTCTCGTGTATATACATATAAATATATACCGATATATACACATAGAAATCTGAGGATTTATATATATATATATATATTTATATCTCAATAATATCGATTAAAAGGATATTATTTACGATGAAAGGAGGGAGAGGAAGAAAGAAGAAAAAAAAAAAAAAAAAAAAAAGAAAAGAAGATATAACGAATAAGAATAGATAGACAGATTTTCACGTGAGATTCACGTTGGTTTGAATCCTCGTTTTCCTCTTAGATTCACTTAGTTAGTTCGTTCGTTCCCTCGCTCACTCTCTCTTTCTCTCTTTTTCTATCTATCTATCTATCTATCTATTTATCTATCTATCTATCTATCTATCTATGTATGTATGTTCTCCGCGGTCGTGGCTAATGGCGCTCGCCGTCGAGTCGCGGTGTGTCGGTCATCGAGGAAACGGGGTCACGATCGCGCAAAAGGGAACGCGCGCCGCCCGTGAGAGAGCGAACGAAACGGTGTCTGTGTGGTGTGTGTATATATCTGTGTGGGAGAGAGTGTGTGCTTGTGTATGTGTGTGAGAGAGAGAGAGATAGATAGAGACGACTATTGCTAGTCGTCGTGAGTCGGCGGCTGTTGGCTGGCTGGCTGGCTGGCTGGCTGCTGGCTGGCTGGTTGGCTGGCTGGGCTTTGCTGAATCGAGTTCAAGCAATACAAAATATTCCACGAATACGTACACAATAGGTCAAATAAATTTTCTTCTTGTTTCTTCGTTACTTTTTATCACGTAAATGAGAGAAAAATAAAATTAAAAATAAAAAGAAAAATTAAAAAAAGATCTATCCTCTAGATCTTAATTTTCTTCGTTTATCTTAGTCTCTTCTTTTCGACTTTGTCTTATTTTCTCTTTCTTTCTTCTCTCTTGTTTTTCTGTTTTTCTTTCTTTCTCTTTCTCTCTCTCTCTCTCTTTTTTTTTTTAATTCAGCGACGAAATACTTTTCTTCCTTGTTCCTTAATTTATTTATTATTATACTTTATTATCTTTTCCCTTTAATAATCTTTTTCTGACGATGTTGTTTCTTGCCTTTAAAAATCCTTCTTCCTTCTATGTACGTACACGTCTATCTGTCTCTCTCTCTCTCTTTATATATATATATATAATATATGTGTGCGTGTGTGCTAGTGTGTGCGCGTGTACTTCCTTGGTGGCCTTCGAGAGTAACGCTCGATTCCCGTATCGAGGTCAGGTCCAGCCTCTCCCTCTTGTACAACATATACGTACACACATATATTCGCACAGAGAGCTCCCTCACATACACACACACACATATATATATATATATATACTTAGGACAGATAGATAGATAGATAGATAGAGATAAAGAGAGGGAGAGAGAGAGAGAGACAGAGTAAACACAGAGAGAGACACAGATGAACTCTCTCTCTCTCTTTCTCACATACACATGGTATAACACACACTTCAACGAACCAAAGTACTCCTTCTATTGGTTCGCTCTACTTTCGCGATATATATATATATATATATATCTCTTTCTCTCTCTTTCTCTTTCTTCCGGCCGAAAAAAGAACAAATCCTTAGTGGTAGTCTTGTTTCCTCTTCTTCTTCCAACAACGAGATATAATATATATATATATTTCTCTATACTTCTTCCTTCTTCTTCTTCCGCAAGGAAACTACCACAGCCAACACTACCAACCACTACTACTACCACCACTCCACCACTACCACCACCACACCACCACGAACACGTCGTTGTCCACAAGAAGCACGGTAATATCCAATGTAATAGAAAACAAACGACGAATGCGTTCAATCAATCGGAATTAATATTCGTCTCTTTGATTAATGCGATTTAAAGGCAACGTGAGGACACGTGCGAACGAGATATACTCTCTTGTGTTTATTTCTTGCACGCAAAACGATAAATATATCTATAGAACATATTTATATTTATATTTATATATATATATATCTCTCTTTATGTGTGTGTGTGTGTGATTCTGCACGCGTAAATCTTATTTATAATTGTAGGACATTGAGAGAGAGAAAGAGAGAGAGAGAGAGAGAGAGACGAGAGAGACACACACACACACATACGCGCACACCAATCAACACACGAAGTCACGAGCTTGATCTTAATTTTCTCTTTCTTTTTTTTTTTTTTTCTTTCTTTCTATCAGATTCCCTCTATCTCGTATTATTATTTATGCGCACAGAGAGATTTCTATGTAATCTCTTTTTCCATGAAAAGAGAAGAAAATTAAGGATGAAAGGAGATAGAGAAAGAGAAAGAAAGAGAGAGAGAGAGAGAGAGAGAGAGAGAAAGGGAGGGAGATAAGGAAAGAAGAAAGTTCCTATGGGATTATCCTTCTAACGTCGAAAATTCATAGTAGAACTGTTATAAAGGTAGAAGAGTCGTCACAGACACGATCGCGCACAGACGGAGAGGTACGCGCGAACGCGCGCATATACAGAGAGAGAGAGAGAGAGAGAGAGAGAGAGAGAGAGAGAGAGAGAGAGAGAGAGAAAGAGAGAGAGATAGAAAAAAAAGAAAGAGAAATGGAAGATAAGGATGCGTACGTAAAAAAATATTCTTTCCTCGCGCGCCGGGTCGATGGGTGGGTGCATATACTGTCGAGAATAAAATAGATACAAGTAATTAACAACGTCTCTATCTTCTTGCGTATATCAAATTTCGTGTGTTTCGGCGAGATATATATATATATAATATAATATATATATTATAATAATAGAGAAACAGATCGAAATGAAAATGGCAGGTGAACGCGCGAAACACCACACGACAAATACGAAGCGACACCGTAGACGGTCCGCCACTGACTAAAGCCGAGCGACCGAACAACGCTCGTCGCGAGCCACCGAGAGAGCCAGCCAGTCAGCGTAACCCCCACCACTTACCTTACTCTCCGCCAATCGCGCGAGCCGTCTTGTCGAAACTTTCACTGTCGACGCGCACCCTGCGCCGCAGGGTGCCACTCTTCTCTATCTCTTTTTCTCTCTCTCTTTCTCTCTCGCTCCTTCTCCCTCCCTCTCTCTTTCTCTCTTTCTCTCTTTCTGTGTACCTGCCTGCCTGCCTAGCTTACTTGTCTGCCTGCTTGCTTGCTTGCCTGCTTGCCTGCCTGCTTGCTTGCTTGCCTGCCTGCCTGCCTGCCTGCATGCATGCTTGCCTCTGCCAAGCGAAACCTCGCTACTTCTCTTTCTTTATTTCTTTCATTATTTTCCTACTTACTACTCTCTCTATCTTTCTCGATTTTACTTCCTACTGAATTTCAGTATCTTCGTTTCTTTCTTTATCCTACTCCTTGCTTTATATTCTCCTCTCCCTCTACCTCTTCCTCTCTCCCTCTCTCTCCCTCTCTCTCTTTCTCTCTCTCTCTCTCCCGCGCGTGTGTATACACGATGACAACGAACGCGGGACACGTCCCTTATTCTTATTCTCATTCTTATTCTTCATTTTCATCTTCATCTTCTTCATCTTCTTCTTCTTCTTCTTCTTCTGGATTCCACTGGGAATACGACGAAAAACGTTCGGGCTCCTTTTTTCTTTGTAGAAGAAAAAAAAAAAAAAAAGAAAAGAAAAAAAAAAGTACGTTTCAACAATCCGAGGAAACAATTTCAATTCTTACCTTCGGCGTATCTTCCAATGTACCCTCGATGTACCTCCGACATTTAGGTCTTCCCGTTTCAAATATTCGTGGAAATAGAGATACCTGATTTTTACGTTCCTTTCATGTTACAGAAAGAGACAATGGTAGTGGAGGCTACATTATCGTTCGAGTGTAACGAGAACGCGAACTTATATTTTTTTTCTTTTCTCTCTCTCTCTCTCTCTCTCTCTTTCTCTCTCTCTCTGTCTTTCTGTCTCTTGTTTCCTTTTTTCTTTCTCTTCTTTTATTTTTTTTTTCTTTTTCGTGCTTTATCTCCACGAAAGAATGTCATCTACGTTATCCCACACACGAATATCGTGCAATAATATGGCGCATGTATGTTATTCTTTCTCTCTATGCGTTACGTTCTTTATTTTTCTCTAATCGACGATCGAAATAATGATAGCAGTAAAAAAAAAAGAAAAAAAAAAAAGAAAAAAAAACAGAAAGAAAAGGAAGGGGAGAAAAAAAAAGAGAGAAAAGAAACAAAACAAAACTGATGGATTCGAGGAAACAACAATAACGTAACGATTCCTTCTCGTCAACACACACACACACACACACACACACACACACACACACATATATATATAACTTCTACTAGACAATTTTCTCCTCGTACATAAGTACTTACTTACTTACTTACTTACTTATTTAAATACGTATGTATTATCACGAAAAATGTGTTTTAATCATTGCATATGACCTTTGCCGTTGACCTTATATTGTTGCACTTTTATCATGAAAGAGAATAAATACCTTTTGAGATTACGTGACGATAAATAATAATAATAATAATAATAATAATAATAATAATAATAACAATAATAATAATAATAATAATATTAATAATAATAATAATAATAATAGTAATAATAGTTTCCTTCTTTTTTTCTTTTCTATTCTTTTTCCTGTTTTTTTTTCCCCCGTTCATACTCTTCGACCCTAACCTTTTATCTCTTACGTCATAAGTAACCTCTTCATTCGGAATATGTCGATGTGTCAATGAATATAAAAAAAAAAAATATATATATATATATTTAGAATTTTACTATAAAAAAAAGAAAGAAAGGAAATTCTTTAATTGCATTTAAACCAACTAAATGACCTTTCAATTTTCACATTCAGTAAAGGAGAAAATACACTCGAGAATACAACGTGAAGAACAATTACGATAGCCGACGCCATTTTATTATGCGCAATATTGGCGGGCGATACGAAAATGTATTATAAATATATATATTATAAACATCATTTGTTCTTTCTTTCTTTCTTAACATTTGCGCCGAAGATAACGATATCCAATATAAAACGTAATTTCGTCATCGTATCGAAAAGTTTTCTTTAGAGCAGTGACCTAAAAAACAACCAACGAAGAAAGATGTATACATACATGATATATATAAAATTCGAATCAGTGGTTCTCAACGTAACAATAATAAACGATCTAATATTGACGAAAAAGACTAGTTAGTCCATTATTTCACGAATATTTAAATAAAAACAAAAGTGTTCAAAATTTCAGACTATAACAAGAGGAGAAAATAAACAAAAAGAAAAGAAAAGAAAAAAAAAGAAAGAAGTAGGAGAAGAAGAAGAAGAAGAAGAAGAAGATTAATTCCTGGATCATAATAGACATACATATAGGTGTCTACATCTCTCAGTTCGCGTTTGCACTCGTCCAATGACGTCGACAGCTCGGCTATTTCGGTTTACAGGGTTGAAAGGAAAGAGCAAAGATGCAGGGGATGTGCTTTTTCCGTGGTTGCTTCGAGATAAATCGAGAGAGAGAGAGAGAGAGAGAGAGAGAGAGAGAGAGAGAGAGAGAGAGAGAGAGAGAGAGAGAGAGAGAGAGAGAGAGAGCTTGCTTGCTATCCTGTCGATGACGTCATCCACCTGTTACACCCCGAGCGTACACGAGAGTTATCCCCTCCCCCCACCCCCACCAGCACTACCACTACCGTGAAAGCTACCACCTCACTGAACGTCCTCGAAACTTTGCCTGGAGAATCTCGACGATATGTACATATATATATATATATATATATATATATATATATATATATATATATATATATATATATATATTGCCATATATATTATGCCCAAATATGCAAATTTATAGGTAAACATGAAAAATGAATCTGTTTTATCGTGAGAAAATGCAGTTCATTTATTCATGTACGTTATACATACATATGTACATACGTCTGTATGTGTACGTGCGCGTAAATATAAGTTAAATAGTAGGTATAACGTTTTATCCGGTAGCCTGGGCTGCTATCGTCAGCAAGAGGGGTAGGATATAGATGATAATTAAGGGAGTGATAGTAGTACTCTGGTGGAACTGGTCTAATAGTGTGGTGGTGGTGGTACTGATGGTGGTGGTAGTGGTGGTGATGGTAGTAGTGGTGGTGGTAGTGGTGGTGGTGGTAACGGTGGTGGTGGTGGTGGTGGTGGTGGGTCATGGCCAGAGAGAAACGAGGACGACCCTCGACGTTCCCGGCGAGCCTGGAAGAGAGCGACCGGGCTAAATTCCAAATGTCCTGCACACGACGTCGATGAGCGAGAGAGAGAGAGAGAGAGAGAGCGAGAGAGCGAGAGAGAGAGATAGAGAGAGAGAAAGGGAGAGAGAGAAAGAGAGAGGGAAAGAAAGAGAGGGAGAGAGAGGGAAAGGAGAGAGACCAAGTGCTACCCTTTTGTTAAGATATTTCAAAGAATTCCAAGATAAATTCCATCCTGCTTTTCTTTACTCCTCGCACTTTTTGTGTATTGGCATTCTTTTTTTTTTTTTTGGCTGGGGGGAGGGGGAGTGGTAGAAGACTTTTTTTGTTTTTACTTCTTTTCATTTCTTTTCTTTCTTTTAATTTATTTTCTCACACGTATCGTTCGATTGTTCACTCGAACGCCAATTATTCTGGTCCAAAATTTGAATCGATGTTGTTCCTTTAATTTTTCTCTTTTCCTTTCTTTTTTTTTTTTCTTTACTTTTTATTTTTATTCATTCTTGTTTTTCCATTTTCTTTTCTATCATATATCATTTCGTTATTTAAGAAACGTGAATGGGGAAAATAATCTCTGTCATGAGCGATTAGATCGATGCTCCTGTAATTCTTTTTTCTTTCTTTTATTTTTCTTCTTTTTTCTTTTCTTTATATCCCTCTCTCTCTCTCTCTCTCTCTCTCTCTCTCTCTCTCTTTGTCTTCCTTGGCACGCGTCAACTCTATAAAAATGCGCTTGAAGATTACGTAGCGAATGGATCTTGGAAAAAGAAAAAAATATGGAATAAGAGCGTAAACGTGAAAATAATTGTGTGTGCATGCTTGCGTATATGATGTGTGTGTGTGTGTGTGTGAGTGAGTGCGTATATGTGTATGTGTGTTTATGTGTTTACACGTACGTAAGTACTTACTTACGTCGGTCGTGTAACGTAACTCATATGGTACGAAGGATCAAGGCACGCGCGTCGCGATACCGATCTAATATCTTACTATAATAAAACGTTATTTTCGAACGTCTCGCGGCGTGACGCGCGTTACTAGTTGCAAATATAAACTTGAACTTGTTTTTTCTCTCTCTCTCTCTTTTCTCTACTCTTCTTTTCTCTTCTCTTCTTTTTTTTTATTCTTTATAGAAAAGATCGAGCAATGGGGATATTTTTAGTACCGCGCTAGATCCTTTTTATGGGGGATAAAAATGACTACGACGTAAAGACGTGTTACTTTAATTTATATAGAAAAAGTAATAAAAAAGAAAAAAAAAAAATTGCTATGCTTAAACAAAAACAAAAATGGATGAAAAATGGATGGAAAAGAAATCGTCCTCCTTTTTTCTTCCTTTTTTTTCTTTTTTTTTTTTTTTTTTTTTTTTATTACCTTTCGATTTTCAAACAGTCCCATTCTGTTTGCAGGGAAAAATAAAGTTGGTACGTTCGAATCAACCAAAAAAAAAAAAAAAAAAAAAAAAAAAACAAAAAAAAATAGAAAGAAAAAGAAGAAACGAAAGGAAAAAATTTATTATCTTTTTTTGCCTTTTTTGAACGGTCCACCCCTATCCCACTCCCTCAACCCCATCCGTTCCGACACATTATACGTTTCGATTTTCAAACGATCGATATTTGACTTTATTTTTTGAACGTTACAGTAATATATCTTACTCGATAAATCGAGCTATTATCGAGCAGGTCATAAACGTCGAATAACAAAGTGTAACTCTCGTATATATGTATGCATATCGGTACACTACTCTAATTGACCTCGCACAGTTTAAACTTCAAAACTATGCAGGTGATATACTGCACGCTTGGAGATTAATTGTTTCTACATTGTCACGTCAACGTTTTTGGGGAAAATTGGGAAAGGAAT